TGAAACCATTATAGTCAATTTAGCCAAAGGTTTAGAAAATCTATATGCATGCAAAATTCCGAGCTTTTACATTATCAGCAAAAATCAGTCCCATCTGGCCAAATGTAACTGATTATGTTTCTACCTGCAGGTGTCTTCTTGTGAGGAGATGTTCACATTGTTCTGGGCCTCTTCTCCAGGGCTGGGCATCCCTGTCCCTCCATTTGTTCTCAGCTGCTCCAGTTCTCTGTTCAGCTGTTCACACTGATAGGACAGACTGCTGTTCTCAATCACCATGTCTTCCATCTGTATAAAGAACAGAGGGAGTGAGGGTGCATTTAAGCATGTTTGAGTGTCTGTGTGCCTGTGCTGGGGCACATTAAGGCACAACTCTTTCCAGCTGAATGAATGAACTGGTTACATCCTTATGGAAAAGACCAATGATCTGATTACCTTGGGTATATGCAGAAAACATGCAGTATATTTCAATGCCTTGGAAACATTAAAATGAAAGACTCCTGTGTCCCGTACTGTTAGACAAACTTACCCTTTTCTCCAACTCCTGCAGGTTCTCACACTTGCGTTTCATCTCCTCTAGTTCCTGCTGGAGCTGGTTCACCTGCTCCTTGTATGTCTCCTGCAGCCCATCAGGCTGCTGCTGCACCTCCAGCATTGGGCTTTGAGGCCCATTTCCTGCCCCCCCATTTTCACATGTTTCCCCAGTCCTGGTCTCTCCCTGGGTCTCCTTCTGCTTGATGCTTCCTTGACTGAAGGCCGGAATCATAGGGACAGAACGTGCTGCCAAATCCATGTTCTCTGTGTCACTGGATGAGACCCCAACAGCGTCCTGCTTCACCCTTTCCGGAGGAACGCAAAGGACACAAAATGAGTAAGACAATAAGACAAATCTGGCAGTCAGATGAATACAGCTGTGCACAGTACCTTTCCGGAGATGTGGACACATGGTCTTCATAGTCCATCAGCATGGTATCATTGGACAGGTTCTGACCTGTTAAAGTATTAATGGTACTGAGAGTTTCCAAAGTGCATTTAATGTGCTCCATCATATATGGGTGTTTCATAGATCCATGGCATGTATATTTGTACATTTATGTAGGTCGTAGTCATTAATACATTATTTCACATACTCTCACCCCAAGCAGGTCACCATTTCCTTTTAGCATAACTTTTAATCTTATTCATACACTTTTACTTTACTTACATGAATTATTCATCAGTCATAATATGCTTCCATCTACAGTGACTAATACAGCGTATAGTTTTCATAAACATGTGCACTGCAGCTACACAGCCTGACCTGAGCAGCTGGGATGGGTGAAGCTCTCAGATGAGCGGCCAGTGGGAGCGCCCTCTGCAGGTCTCCACCACTCACTGCATGACAATGGTGTGGCTGGAAGGGGTAACGCTGGTGCTGACATCTGAGAGGACATTAGTGTGGGGGGGGGGCAGGTCACAGTAATAAGCACTGCTGTTACACCTCGACAGAATATTTATGACAAAACATGGTTTGCTGTGGTTTAGTCACACAAAAGCGTTTGCTTTCTTAATGTAAAGCCATGACTTTAACATTCTCAATTCACCTGTTGTTGGTCCTTTTTCTCCTGCTTCTTACTCATTTTCTTCCTACAGTAAAAAAATAAATAAATCAAAACACCAATAGTCAGATTCTCCTGAGAGATATCTTAATCACAATTCATACTTCACTTTTCCATGTGCAGATGTACAGAGTCCCTAAAAGGACAGTTCTGTGTTCCC